GGTAACAGCCATCAGACTCGGATACGATCATGATTGCCTGTCTGTTCCAGCAGTTTGTGCACGCTGAGTCAGAGCTAGTGCGTGAGCTAAGCGCGCTCCAATGTGATGAAATAGATGAGCAGTGGGATCAGATTGGGCGAGCAATATATTTCGCAGCGAATGTTACCTATGGCTCTGAGTCTCAGGCCTGTCCGAGGCATGGGATATCTCCTGAGTCAGCACCCCTAATGGAGGTCAGCAGATGAGGTGGAGGCGAGGCATGAAGAAATACACATTAGGTAGAGTAGATATCACGCGCCTTCCAGGTTGGGGTCCGAAAGACTGCATAGCTGGTTGGTTGGATACATTGAACGATATGGTAGCGAACTGACAGTAGTGGTGTGATTGTTGTCATTTCTTATCAGACCAGAATGCTTGAAACGATATGTATGCAGGGTTCGATTGTGTTGATCATAGAGGTACACCTTCTTCCCCCTCTGTCAAAGTAGGTTGAATCCCTGTCCACCTTAAATTTTACCACTAACCTTGTACGCATTGTGGGTTTGGCAGCGATCAATGAAGTTTTCAGTTCTCACTGTATTTCGTTGTACAATGATGATGATGGTGATGATGATGATGATGATGATGATGGTGATGATGGCGAGTGTCACGTGCCTTAGTCAAGTGATTTTTGTTTTGCTGAATTACGTAGTGGATGATTGGACGCTCTAAACTTCACATATGTGAATTGCATGTACGCTATGTGCGCTTTCACTTTTAGTAAATGGTATTTTCGGTGAAGCATTAATTAGGGATTATAATGATAACAATAATAGTATTAATAATAAAAATAATAATAATAGTATTTCGTTGATCAATGACTGACTGAAGATATTCGCTGAAGTCGGAAATGTGAGCGATTGTGGTGCCGGTGGAATACGAACAGATTTTGCTTCAGAATTGACGATCTTAATCAGAGTCATAGCAGTTTGGCACTGAAACACGTTTCCAGTCGCTTTCATCTTCATTACACACACACTTGTATGATAAATAGCAGACGGGGCGAACTCCCCCATTCACGAAGACCTGCCGTTCGGTAATGAAACCCAATAAATAACCTGAGTCTTGGGACTTGGAGTGGTGTGCCACATAAGGCTCCGTGCTAGGTGAAGCATGATATTGAACCGGACGGTAACAAAGCTACCTACCACCAAAGTTGAATGGCGGTGACGAAGGGGCTTCGAACCCGAGACCATAAAGTCGAAAGCACACTGGTGACAGCGACTAAGACACTGTGCCACCACCACTACCACCACGCCATTTTCCTACGCGGACGATTATGGATTATGTTTGTTACACTAGATCGTTGGGTGCTGCATAAATTCAATAAGTAATTGTGTTTTTTTAGTGATTAATGGAAGATTTGGTTCAATTTCAAAGGTGAATTCGTCTTGTATATAGCAAATGAAGCGTGAACTGGAAAGCTAGGAAGCACTGGACGGCTATCTCACACTGGAGGTAGAATTCCGAAAGAAAGAAAGAAAGAACAAATATAACGGAAAAAATTCTATTCACACTGCTGATGAGGCCCAACCAGGTCGAAACAGCTGTCCACTGATTCCTAGCTTTTCAGTTCACACTTCATTTGCTATATACACGATGAATTCACCTCCGGAATTGTTTTTTTTTTTCGTCTATTTTTTCTTTATTGAGTATATAAATCTGCAATAAACTTTCAGGAAAGTGATCGCGGTCACATTTCGGATATCTGGGGGAACACTGAAAATGGGAAGATGGGCAGTAGCGGCGGGGTTCGAACTCAGAACCTCCGGGGCATTATTTTAACCACCTTAACCGCTCGAATTTGATTGTAATGAGGGAACCAGCCAATTGCCGTGTCAAGCTCGGAATGGCAAATTAATCTACTAGTCTATTTCCAGATGCTTCTACAATTTAAACCTACTTCTCAGACACCGAATTCTACTTCGGCGGGCGTGGGTAATTGCCTGGGATTCCTTTTTCTCTCCCGTCTGTGTTTCCGTTTTATGATCTAACTTTGTTGTCCTATTGCATACTCTCTCGTCCTGCGTTATACCTCGTATCAGGCGCGACCGGAATCGAAGATCGTTTACAAGACGGTGTCCCTCAGACCATCGAACATCTTCGTGAGGCCGGCATGCACGTGTGGGTGCTGACTGGGGACAAACAGGAGACGGCGATCAATATTGCACACTCAGCCCGCCTGATCACAGATGAGCACAAACTGATTTGTATCAATGCCAACTCTAAGGTAACTGCTAACTAGGCCTTCAATGTCCTGTGATTCCTCGCCGTTTTTTTTTAAATTTTACTGGGCTCTCTCACTATCAGACTTGTTTCTGTTCATAATTATCTCACTATTCAGTTCGGGACTTTACAATAAATCCATCACGATTTTGTTTCCCGATAAGTCTAAATGGATATGCGGGATTTTCGCTTCACACCCGGATCTGAATCCAGACCATGTGTGCCAAACAAATTATAGGACTTTAGACTTTAGCAAGAAGTGAATGTGCCACGATTTGTTTGTGAGTAGAGTGTTGCCAGGTTGTTCAGTCCAAGCTAGGTGGATTCTCTTGAGTAATTCATAACCGGAACGTTGGACTAGTCAAAGCCTATTCCGTAAGGTAGCCTGGGATGGGGCGGGTGAGTGGTGTTTAAAATCCGCAATCCATTGGGGACTGATTTCCATCCAGTTCATCGGATTATACACCCTTTGGACGGGATTAAATGTTCAACGTGTCTAATACATCTCGATGTCCAAACGAGCCACGTAATCATTGCGAAAATATAGGAAGGTGTGTGTGTTTGGTATGTTCGGTTTGGAGTCAGCGATATTTACCCCAATCCCCTAGGTGAACTGCCCTGGATGGATGGATGGATGGATGGATTCATCGATCCGGTTATAGCCCCCCTGGACACTCATTTTGTGAAACCGAAAATGCTGCGGAATTCTACCGCTGGCTTCATTTGTCATCCCCAAATAAGAAAACTCACAGATGGATCGCGTGTAACTTAAGAATGATCAGCTGACACATCTTGATCATGCGAAACACACACGCATACATGAGATTTCTTGCCGAATCAGTTGTCCGAGACGTTCTCCACTGGTTGAACAGTTTTGGATTGGGGATTCTGTGTGTATGTGTGTGTCGATATTTCGATTTTCAGTCCCATGCACTCGCCGGTACTTGCAATNGCAATGGACTACTGATAATTCCTCTGGAAATAAGGTGGAACGAGTGTAGCTCGGGATGCGTATATTGTTGTTCTTGTTGGTAATGTGTGTGTGTGTGTTCTCCGAGAGCTGGAGAGCTGGAAGTGTTGTTCGCAGACGTTTCGCGAGCCAGACCAGTCAACATCATTCTCCCCAAATTTAGAGTATCAAGAGCTTGGATTAGCCCATTCGATTGTTCAGAGTCACAAGGCACTCTTGATGGTCTCGGGTAGGTAGGTGGGTTTCACTTCTGGGGAGATGATCGCTAATTTCCCACCATAGTTGCATACAGTTAAATACGATGAAAATGTTGGTTGTGATGACCGAGCAAGAGCACCGAGACAGTTGGTTCGTCCCGTTTGGGATTCGTCGTCCGGTTCAATACCACGCCTAACCTATAGGAGTCTTTCTTATGTGATTCGCCAATCCAAGTCCTACTGCTTAGGTTACCGGTTTCCATGACAGAATTGGAGATCTTCGTGACTATGGGGTTCGCATCGTCTGCATCATTCATCACAAATTGGCGTGTAATAAAAAGTCAATCATTGTTTGAATAAACAGACGAAACAGAGAAGCCTAACTCCATATCACAAAAGCTTTCTGTTTCCAGTCCTCCGAATTCAATCAGAGAATACCACATCTAAACCATCTAGTTGGGCTTCGAGAGGCTAAGAAAAGGGCCTGAAAACTGAAACATTATGGGACATGTATGCACATTGATTTTTTATCCGCGATGGCTTTAGTAGGGGAGAGACTATCCTTCTGTTGGACAGGGTAGCGACAATTAAAAAAATTGCACTGATTGTTTGAGTAAACAGGGGGACAACATGTGAATAGTGATGAAAAAGAGACTGAAATCCACAGATACGTGTGGGGAGAAGAAGTAGTTGCCAGTGAAATTTAATGTGATCAGATCAAGCTACTACAGATTGTGAACAATCGAATAGATTGTTCCAAATTTACTACTCTTAACTGTTTAAACCATTCGCACAAGTTGATTCGCACCGTCGACCGAGTAGCTCAGGGATAAAAGTTTGAAGTCCTCCACCCGAATTGTTCGCGGTTCGAATCCTGACACGAGCATTCAAAAAGTTCACTCACTGTTGACAATTCCCCCAAACAGGATGAAATAGCTGTTCCGGTGCTCTTTGTTAGTCATCATGACATTTAAATCATCCACCCCACCCCAAAGTTACACTCTGTCGGAGAACACGCCAACGACATGAACATGAAAATGGCTTCTGCCCCGTAACCGGGGCATGATCGTGAACTCATCTCTCAAGAAGTTTGTCCAAAGTTATCTTGA